CTCACTCTCTTTAGAGGCTATATGATGTACTTCACAATCATGAGAAAAAATTATTAAAATATTCTCCCCTTTCCAACTAAATGCCTGTGTGAGACCAGGTTTTCTTGGTGTACTTCAACTAAAAAACATATAGAAACAAAATTTGGGAGTTTGAGATTTCAAACATTAGCCACCATATATAAAAATAGATTTAAAAAGCGAGTTTCTTCTGTATAGCACAGGGAACTATACTCAGTATCTTGTAACAACCTTTAATGAAAAAATATGAAAATGAACATACGTATGCATATGCATAACTGGGACGTTATGCTGTACACCAGACACTGACACATTGTAAGTGCTCTTCAAAGGAAATGAACAAAAAATTTAGAAACAGATTAGTACAAAAGTAAATATGAGAACCCAGCTGTCTTCTATCAAGCCAGACATTTAAAAGGCTTAGAAAAGTGGAAAGTAACAGCACTGTTTCACTTTGGAAAATATAGTTATTTTTCCTATAAATGTGTTATGTTTCCATTCATTATTTTAAATAAGTAATAAATATTCATTTATTTAATAAAAGTTCCCTAGCTTCTTTCCTGTTGTAAATATTGATAGATGTAGCCTGCATAAACAAAGCTCGTGGGATGGGTGGGGGGCAGGTGCAGCTCAGTGGCAGAGCACGTGCTTAGCGTGCACGAGGTCCTGGGTTCAATCACCCAGTCTCTCCAATTTAATTAAAATAAATGAAATAAACAGAGCTCTCTGGGGTAACTTCTAGAGTGCAAAAGTGCCCTAAAACCGAGAAGTCTGAGGATTGCTACACTAGGTCCATGTCCCTTTGTCCTCCTGCAACTTGAACCATGAGAAATGTTTTCTAAGCGTATCACCTGGAGAGAGAGAGTCAATTACAGTCAAAGGTTCTTTTTCCGAAGACCTGCTTTTCACTTTCCGTTCCTTGAGGGAAAAAGCCTGCCATGCCGGTAACTGCAGCATGTAAAACGTGGAGATGTTGACTGCGTTCTCTCTCTCCCTCAAGGCCTGTCTTATTTCCACCCCACTGAAAATGCTTCTGAGCCTTGGAGAGGAGCCCGCAGCTGCACGCTACCCATTTTTCTCCACTGCCCTGAAGGCTGATTTCATGCTGAGGCAGCCATTGGGTTGGGGGCTCTCGTGACAGTGTCGTTTGTCAGAGCCATTCTCTGGGTCACAGGTATTTTTAATTAAAGTTGCTGCATCAATAGCTGGTATTCATTTCCTCCGGCTCTCACAAGTCAGTAGAGACTGGGGATGATCAGCTTAGGTCGGGAAATCTAGCCAGAGGAGGTAAATGAAATCGAACGTGAGGGAGAAAGAATCCTCCTCTTTAAGGTAAATGCATTGCCTTCCAGAGAAGGTGGAATTTATTTTAAGTAAACACCGAGAAGGTGTTTTTCTCTTGCAGTGATGGTTTCCTTTTGTTTTCAATAAGTGGAGTTAGTCATGCTCTGAAATGTACAGTCAAGCGAAAAGGAAAGACAGATACTGAAAGCATTTTTCATGGAGCCAGAGTCTCGAGGCTGCCCTCGGGGTTACCGAGGGCACGGGGATGTGGTTACTCGCCCTTGATGTGGATGGTCTTTTAAATCCTATTACTTCTTTGGACTTTGAGAATTGCGTTTCTAGTAGAGACCCAAATAGAAGAGCAGTTTTAGATGAAAAAGGTGGAGCAGCAAGAATGGGGGTGGGGGGAAGGTCAAATTAAATCAGAGACAATAATAATTGCACTTGAAAACTGTTGTATTTGACTTTAGCAAGTTGGAACGCGAGGACATCAATTTTGTTCCTTTCAGGAAAGACACTTTCAGCCCTCCCACAGTTTAGTTATAAGGATGTTTTTAAGATCTCACGTAGTGATAGCTTTTTTTCAAGCACGTCTTCATATTACGCAGCTGCTGGAGTTAGTGTGAAGCAGCGTTTCTGGGCATTTGGATCGTGACAGGTGTAGAGAATCTGTCTATCCAAACACAATCTGGGCGTCACTCCTGGTTGCCTCCCAGGTACCTTGTGCTTCTCCTCCCATGACACCGTCATCATTACAGTGTCCCCTTCTTGTCTGAATCCCGCTCAGTTGTCTGGGGGCAGGGGCAGGATCCTCTCATCCACTCTTCTGTCTCCACCGTGTCCTTGGCACGTGGGTGGCCCGACTAGTGGGTACCTCTGGGTGACAGGTGCCAAATCACAGGGATGAATAAAACCAGATGCCTCGATTCAAGGAGCTCAAAAAAACAAATGAACCGAGGAATACAGCTCGATGTGAGTGGTGTATGAAACAGGTAAGCTCCGGAGCTCCGATGCCCTGGCCTTGTTACTGCGGCCACAAGCCTGTCCAAGCGGCATTTTAGTCAAGTTTCAAATTTCTTTCCCATCAAATCTCTTTAATTAACCCTATACAGGAAAAAAAAAAAAAACAGCTAACTTGAACGTTCTTCCTTTTAATTTTTCTTAACCACCTTCTGATATGGAGGTTAATAAACATTTAATATTGTAGAGCAACCAGAGAAAAAAGACCCTGGCTAACCCCAGACTGGGTAATCAATTTCTGAAAATCTTGAGTTTCTTGTGTTACCACCTGCCCAGGGTTAGTGTTTGACGCTAATGCCATCTTTGTTTCTAAAGGGGCTCAGGAAATACTACTCCTAGTAGCGGTAATAAGGGTAGAGGCTAATGTGACCCATTGCTGACTATCTGCTAAGCGTTGTACCAAGTGTTCTAATGCATTCCATCCTCACAACAACCCTCTGACATAGGCACTGTCCCTGTTTTACACTTGGGGACGCAGAGGGGAAGTAAGGTCACAGGGACAGTAAATGGTGGAGTTGAGAACCCAATCCACGTGACCAAGCACTGTCAGCCCAGTTCTTGCTCAGTGTGCCGGTGCAGAAACACGTGCTGAATGAATGGCGAATGAATAAGTACCCCACAGTATTCTCTAACTGCTCACTTGATTGGAGTCTTGTAATTTGTGTCTGGCCTGTCTCCATTTATACGCGCGCACACACACACTCACCAATTTCCTAGACCTTCAGTGGGTGAGATGTTTATAAAGCTTTTCTTCTCTTCGATAGATTGAAAGATATTTTGAGATTTTTTTATTTGTCTTTAGCTCTTGAGTTTGACAATTCGTTAAGCGTGGCAATGAGAAAACACATGTTGTTAGAAACCCAGGTTTCCATTTTTGCTGGACTGTGGTTTTGTAATTCAAATAAGGGAAATTTGACAAATTCAAACCACACTTTGTCCCCCAAATAGTATTTAAATGTGTGGGTTCAAAGAGATGGCATTGGTCATTCCAGAGAATGCCAAGTGTCTTCATCTTTCTGGGTCAAAGCAGATTTAGGCTTCGACTTACTGCCCAGCACGCAGCATGTTTTTATTCACAAGCTTAAGGTGTCATGTCTGAGAATAATGATGCTGTTCATTTTCTTGTCATGCGTCTGGTTGAATATTTAGTAGTGGTAACTTCTGATACAGTTATGGAAAATGTCCATGTTCAGAGCACATTAAAGGAAAAGCTGTTCTGTGCTTCATGCTGAATCATTGCCTTGCACCTGACCTTCACGGCAGCGCCAGGAAACTAGGAGATGGTTTACTTGTGAGTAATTGTTAGGACCTGGGTGGCTTCGTTACCGAGTTCTAACTCATTCTGCTCGCTGCACGACAGGCCAATAAACAGGGAGATGCGGTGCTGGGGCAAAGAATAGCAACTTTATTTGGAACGCCAGCAGACTGAGAAGATGGGGGACTAATGTCCTAGAGAACCATCCTGCTCCAGTCAGAATTCAGGCTCCTTTTATATTAAAAAGGGGAGGGAGTGTGTGTTGGTGTAGGAATCCTTTATTCTTGCAGCTGTCCAAATGGGTCACATCATGGTACCCCTGTAAAACCTCCAACAAAACAGATGTTATTTTCCATTCTGCAACTTGTTATCTTTATTTAAGTGCAAAAGTGTTAATATCCTTAAAGGTCGGAGCCTTGAGAACAGGCTCTCCTGTCTATTTCAGGCTAAAGGCAACACTCTTTTACAAAAGGCACAGAGCCAGCAAGACTAAGCCTAGAAAACAGGGCACAGGGTTAAAGCCACAGAAACAGATCTATTATGGAGTCAGATCTGTTCTTTTCTGTTACAGCTTTGCTTCATTAATTAGGTGTTTCCGTCTGTAGTGTAAAAGAAAGCATGGCATGACATTCTCAGGTGGTTGTGGAAAATGTGCCTAACAGCAAACTCAGAATTATTAGAGTGTGTTCACGTGGATCTTCAGCATAGAAGACCAAAGCAATTCGGAAGCGATCCTCTGAAGCTGCGGCAGTTGATCGGGTTGGTGTGGGCGATGTGCTTGAGGGCCACACATTCCTGTTGGAGAGAAGAGCTCAGGGGTGGAAGGCACAGGTCGATAAGGGAAGTAGCACACCGTCGGGGGCTGTAGAAATACCCCAAGTATAGACAGGATAAGGCAAAGCCCTTGTATATTCGGCATCAATCTCCCCTCCCACTTCCTGCAGAACACCTCCCCAGATGGACCACGCCCCGCAGGCAAGAGTGCTGGTTATGCAAATGCAGCTGTAAGGCCCTAGCCCAGGCCTCCCCACCCTCCAGTGAGCTCGCCGCCTTGGAAGACTTTCCTTTATAAATGGATCACCTGTTTTCATCCAGAGACTTCCTGGAGTGGTGGGCATCCCATTCAGAGAGCCATTTGGAGGCTTTTTCCAAGGACAGGACAGATTCCCCCAGGCGTCCCTTCTTGGTAAACATCAGCTAGTTTGCCCTGAAGGAACTAAACACAGGTACGAATCTACGTAGGCGTAGGCGAGCAATTGGCATTGATTTTAATTCAAAGTACCTAGTGTTTGATCTTGGTGCCATGTGCTTGGCAAGATGCTCAGTAAATCATTTTCTGCTTTTCCCATTTTCTGTTGTTCAGTTGACTGTTGATTTTTTTTTAAATTTTTTCTGATGTATTTTTCTTTGTTCTCTTTTAAAGGAGAGATTTAAGGAAGCTGAGGAGATATACCAGGCTGGAATAAAGAACTGTCCCGACAGCTCAGACCTACACAACAACTATGGGGTTTTCCTAGTTGACACGGGTGAGTGAGCTTGGAGGGAACCCGTTCTGCTGAGATTAGATACTACTGTCTGTCAAGCTAGACGGCAGCCACCTGAACAGCACCCCAGAAGCAGAGCTCACTGGGCATGGCCGGCAGCCCACACCGTTGACGGTCACATTGGGGTTGTCCTTTCTCTAAACCTTTAAGCTCAGTTCAGTAAAGTCTGCCCAGGTCTTGTAATCATATCCCTAAGGAAGATTCCCCGGGGGGCAGGTGGTGTGGCCTTGACCATTTAATGACTAGCAGGCGTCTTTGAATATAGCCTTTGGGCACGTTTATAAATCTGTGATGCGAACTGTTCTCTGCAACGATGCAGAACCTGCCTCTGGATCTATTTACTGGCAGATGGTAAATACTGTTCTACAGCTGATTTTAAAATTTCTCCAGAATTGTTTCATGGTTTCTTGTGTGATACCTACCACAGAACCTGCACTGTGGTAACGGCTGGAGGGGACTGCTACAGGACAGATGCTGTATAAAATACACTTACTTCATCTTATTTAATGTAAAGCTTTACTGGGTAGTGGTTCTGTGTTCTTTATGATTTGGCCCCACATACCGTTGGCATATGATGAATACAAAGAATGAAGGGATATGTGAATTTAATACAAAAACACCAATTTGTTCTCATTGACTGTTAGACTGCCTGTCCTGCACTGAAGTTCAGTTTTGCTGATTTTTGTCAATATGAAATGCTCAGAGGGGGGTTAATTTTCTAGGATATTCGAAGCTTTTCTGTTCTGTAGAACATACTTTTACATCTTGATTCCCTTAGGCAATGTCCCTGATTTTTGCATGGAAACTGTTTCGGAGCGCCACCTGCTGGCTCATTTGCAGCATAATCATAAATTAGATACAAAGCTTGAAAAACTAGAAGAGACCTGCTGGCCTGCCTGGTCTAGCCCTCTTCCTTCTACTTCAGCAACAAACCATCCCACCTCCACCCCCAACCCCAAGAATCTCACTGACCACAGGGTACAGCTTCCCCCCACTCCCACTGTATTTGTGTTTTCACTCTGGTGAAATTCTCCCCGTCGCCAGTGACTCGTAGACCTTCTGCATACGTGGAGTCTCTTTTGGCCCCTCCTAGTCAAACCTGCATTCAAAGCAGGCAGTCTTGAGAAAATGTTTGTGCAGATAATAAACATCCCGTTCCCTGGAGAATCTCAGACTGTCCCACAGCTCAGCCACCTACGCCAGGAGGCTCCTTTGGGGAACGTTATCCTACTGGAGAGGCGTGATTCTAGTTCAGGCTTTTACTCTCACCTGCCCTGTGACATTCATCAAGTTTCTTAAGTCTTTGCACCTTAGTACCTGTATCTGTAGAGTGATAATGTCTTTTTTAATATCTCTTAAATCCCAGGAGGCAGCTATGTGCTATCAAAAGGCAGTTAATAGTATCAGAAATGCGTGCAAAACTCATGTGGGATCGTTTAAAGTGTTTCAAAATATACAATGCACTGGACAAATGCGAGGTGGCATTGTTACTAGTTTTTAAATCCTGTTAGATAAATACCATCTAAACAAAAATGTACGACTTAAAAAGGGATTTTCGAGATACAGCAGGTCCCTGCTTGTTTAAAGCAGTGCCTCAGTCACTATATTGCAGCAGAGTAATTGTGACAGACCCTTAGAAATTGCTTCAGAAAGGTTTTCTTTCTAGAATAGCCCATTCCATCTTTTCTATGAGAAGCAACAATACTTATATATATATATATAATCTCTGATCATCTCAAAACATCATATTAGCTAGAGCAATGGCCAAAAAAAACACTTTGACTAAAATAATACACTTAATAAAAGGAACAGGCTTTAGTTTTTATTGCTTTTTTGTTATTAATATCTTCAGAAGTGAAAATGAATAGTGAAAATGGTCCAAAGTTTAAACAGTGACAAGGGAAAGAAGCCAACATGTGAGCTAATTTACAAACTGAATAATTGGTGGTATGACTGTAAAGAGAATGATGAACATCAGAAGAGAAATGAAAGAGTCTGTATTTTGTAATTAAGGCGTGTTCCGCTCTTACTCATCCACCGTCGGTTGCAGGCGCCCCAGAGAAGGCAGTGGCCCATTACCAACAGGCCATCAGGCTGAGCCCCAGTCACCACGTGGCCATGGTGAACCTGGGGAGACTCTGCAGGTCGCTGGGAGACAACAGTGAGGCTGAAGAATGGTACAAACGGTAAAGGTCCTTCTCTTCACTTTGTGAGCAACTCAGAGACCTCTGCAGTTGCCCATCAAATTCTTAGTTCATTGGAACGCACATTCTCAGAATACCGGCAACATTTGCCAATGCAGGTAATACAGATGCTCATCTGCAAAGAGGACAGCACAACGCATGGTACTTTGGGGATAAACAGTATCCCGGTTAATGACTTTTTTTTTGCCTGCTGATTAGACCATGGTGCTAAATCAAGGTTGGAGTTTAATTCCCATTTTACTTAGTCCATTGTTTTCTGAAGCGATGGACTGCAATCCAAGCCACAAATAGCCATTTCAAACATGGATGTAGATGAAAGACTGTGCGCACATCAAAACAATCCTAGCAGTGTTAATGGAAAAGAAACTCTGGGGCTCAGTTTCCACATTGGGGGTCACTAGAGACATTCTTTTTAAAAATGTATTTATTACTGTATTATTTGATTATTTTATTTTGGCCAGGGGGGAGGTAATTAGGTTTATTTATTTTTAGAGGAGGTACTGGGGATTGAATCCAGGACCTCATGCACCCTAAGCATGTGCTCTACCACTTGAGCTACACCCTCTTCCCCCACTAGAGACATTCTTATTGTCAGAGGGCGGCACCATGATCTTGTGCGCGCTCTCTCTCACTCTCTCTCTCTCTCTTTTTTAACATTCTTCTTGATACAAAATACAAAGACCATGTGGGAGCAGAGTCTCAAACCATGGACAGTGATCCCTAAACCTAAGTTTCAGCCTTTGGAAGTGTAGCTGTTTGATGAAAAGTGTCAGTTTGTTTTCTCGAAATTCAGTGCCCTGCAGGTGGCCCACAGAGCTGAGATACTAGCCCCTCTGGGGGCGCTGTATTACAACACTGGCAGATACGAGGAAGCTTTGCGGGTTTACCGGGAAGCCACGGCGCTCCAGCCTTCCCAGAGGGAACTCCGCCTGGCTCTGGTGAGTGGGACGAAAGGAAGGAAGTGGAGCAGGGAACAGACACAGAGCATGAGATGCAGGGGGCTCAAGACAGGAAACCTTGGAACTGGAACTAGAACTAGACTTTACCCATTTAAGGAAAATTCCTGTAACCAATATGACGGCCATTCACCGAAGACATGCGCGCTAAATACACGTTGAAGTTCTTGTTTTGAAATCATTTCAAACTTACAAAAACTTGCAGGAATTTAAAATAACTCCCATATACCCTTTCACCCAGAGTGATCAATTTTTAGCACTTTGATGCATTTATCACCCTCTCGTGTATGTATGTGTATATGTACACATACGCACGCTCGCGCGCGCGCGCATGTGTGTGTGTGTGTGTATATATATATATATAAATATATATAATGCCTGTTTTTTCCTGAGCCATGGGAAGGTTATAGATCTCATAACTTTCATTTCTACACTTCAACAAATAGTTCCTAAGAACAAGGACATTCTCTAACACAGCAACAGTACAGTTACCAAATTCAAGAAAATTAAAATCAACGGTATTTTTTATTTCAGTTGTTTTGGATCATTACTCTTCCCTTTCCTTCGATTTTCAGTGAAACAAACTCCTTCTCTTGTTATAAACACAGTGTTCTGCTGAAACCATAGGAAAACCTTTCTCTTCTGACATACTTCGTCAGCTTTTTAAAAAAGGCACACGTCTTGAGAGTTGCTAATATTAACTACAATGTAAAAATAGAGAAAAAGACAGATTTCTTCTGTATAACACAGGGAACTGTGTTCAATATCTTGTAGTAACCTATAATGAGAAAGTATATGAAAATGGATCTGTGTGGATATGTATGACTGAAACATTACTCTGTACACCAGAAATTGATACATTGTAACTAACTATGTATTTCAATAATTTAAAAAAAAAGGCACAAGTCATTTCATTGGATAGATTGGATGGTCCTGCCATTCATACACGAATGCATGCACACACCTAAATAAAGAAAGAAGCAAACAACAAAAAACGAAAGCCCACAAACTGTGGTGAGTCAGACCCCTCTGTGAGTCACGCACAGACGCTAGGCACCTTTGTTGGGAATGGTGCCTGAATGCTTGATCTGATACAATCATAACCAAGTGTCCTCTAAGCCAAAGTCGGTGTGGTTTTGCAGGCTCAGGTTTTGGCCGTGATGGGTCAGACAAAAGAAGCTGAAAAAATGACCAATCACATCGTGTCGGAGGAGACGGGGTGCCTGGAATGCTATCGCCTGCTGTCGGCCATCTACAGCAAACAGGAGCTGCACGAGAAGGTAGGGGCACTCGGGTCCGAGTTGTTTGGATTCACAGGGAGAAAACGGGGTGCGCCTGAGTGACCCTCCATCTGCACGCTCACGGGGCTGAGCGGTCTTGGACGTCGTCAGGTGGCGTAGCGTACCTTCTGGGCGCTTTTCACACATACCTGCTCGATTCCTCAGATGTCCCCTGGAAATGGTATTTTCTTGGCTCATCTTTGATCTGAAGATTTAATTTTTTATTATCTCCATCTGTTTCCCGCTTACATCTGTGTGCTTCACCATTTTCTGTGCTCCTTCAAATATATTTTATGGAATCCTTACAACAACCCTGTAAGGCAGGTCAGTGGCCCTGCGTTGCAAATGTACTCTTTCTCTCCATTTTAAAAGTCACATAACCAGTTAATTCACGAACTGATTCAACAGAATATTAATTGAATGCCTGCTATAGGCCAGACACTCTGGTGGGCAATGGGGATAAATTGTCATGGAAGAAAACAAAAAAAAATCACTGCCCTTGTCCTTGTGGGGTTTACAGTCGAAGCGGAGACAGAGATTAAACAAGTCATCACAAAACCAATGTGGAGTTATAGCTGTGCCCAGTGATGTCACAAAGAGCAGCATGGCGCCCAATGAGCATATGATCAGGGGACCTGAGTGGTCTGGGCGGGCAGGCTCCCTGCAGAGTGATGTGAAGGTGAGGGCTGCGTGACAAATAGGAGTTATTAAGCAAAAGGGGGCAGTGAATAGCGTTCCAGGCAAGAAGAAGCATGTGCGAAAGCCCTGTGTCAGCATCGAATGGCCGTCTGAGGGATGGGTGTGAGGGGGCAGGGTGCACTTGGGCGACGTGGCCACAGAGCTTACTGGGGACTCCACCCCAAGGCTTGGGACCAGGGCAAGGGTTTTGTTCCTTATCCTGGAAGAAGCTTTGCTGTTTTCAGGAGAAAAGCAACATTGTCAGATTTGTGCTTTGAAGGGATCTCTGGCTGCAGGGGGTGGGGCAGTGTGTGCTGGGCACCGGGGGCCTAAGAGGAATGGTCCAGATGGACACATGGTCAGGGCCAAACATCTCCGACCCCAGATCTTGTTTCAGTGGCGTCACGTGACTTTCCTGTACAGTGATCAGGAATATTTCACTGTCACTAACATAAATAGGAAGCCTGGGCAATAGATACATTACTTTGGCAGGGCTACGTTATTTCCCAGTGAGAATGTTAAAGAGAAGGAATGAAGAATGTGTTTTGATTGTCACTCACCACACGAGTTAATACGTAAGAACAAAAAGTATGCATTTCATCTCTTACGTTAGTTTTTCTTTGTCTAATCTCCGTTCATTCTGTCTCAATTTCCAACCCACACAGGCCCTTGATGCTATAGACAAGGCTCTCAAGCTGAAACCAAAGGACCCCAAAGTTATATCTGAACTTTTTTTCACAAAAGGAAACCAACTCAGAGAGCAGAACTTTCTTGACAAAGCTTTTGAGGTACAAACACTTCATAAAAGTATTAAGCTCTTGGATTAAAATGACTTCTCCCTCCATCTTTAATGAAGCATATGTATTAAAACCTAAGATCATTGGCGTGTTTGTGGGGTGAATTTTCTGATTAGTTGACATGATGTTGTAAGTTTATTTTTTTATAATCGAGCCTCTGCGTTTTGACTATTAGGAGTCCCACAATATCTCTGCATTATTGTCTGAATTATCACCTTGAACTTGATGTTTGAAGCTTTCCACATTTTGTGCTCAAACCAGCTTCCCTCTGTCTCTCTTTCTTCCCCACTCTTTCTTTTTGTCTCTCTGTTTGCTGTCAGTAACCCTGTTTCAGCTGGACTGGTGCTTAGGCATCCCACACATCCTGGAACATTGTCCCCACCTCGCCCCCTCCACCCCCTGCAGATTCCCACCCATCCACCGTCACAGGTCTGTGTCCTGGTCCTCCTGCCTTAGGAAGCCTTCTGGACCCTCCTTCCTCCCAGTGACCTTGTTTCCTCATAACTCCTAAAACACTGTCTCTACCAGTCATTTGAAAGTGTCATATGTTACATCGTATTGTAAGTGTCTCTCTCTCCCCTCCCTCCCCCTTTCCCTCACTCCTCCTTCCCCCTCCCCCTCTTTCCCTCTCCCCTCGCCCACCTCCCCCCTCTTCTCCCACCCCGCCTGTTCCTCCCCGCTCTCCTCTGTGCGCGTGCACACCGGCAGCTCAGCACCCTTATTCAATCGGACTTCCCCTCGTGGAGAGGGTCTGCTTCCTGCTGTGTTCTGAAACATAGCATGTTGCCTCTTACAGGTGTTCCATGTGTACAGCTTTGAAATACAATGGATTTAATGCAATTTGAAATAAAAAAGATTTACAAACATAGATAGAAATGTTATAGAAATACTATCCATTTTCCTGGGTAAAGCCACAAGTTGGAATTAATGAAGGCATACAATTGTGTGGAATATATCATGAGAAAAAGTAAAATTTCAGCGGATATAGCTGTTTTTGAAAATAAATGGTAAAAGGCTTTTAAAATATTATTGGAAAACACATGTAAAGATATTTGGAAAAATTATTGAATGTGAATGCTTAAAACAGAAATGGTGGCATATTTGAAGCAAAAATTGTACATTTTTCTCTGCCTTGTGAACACCTTCAATACTGTCATTCTTAAGGTATTTGTTAACATGACTGTTTAATGATTAATTAATATTTAATTATGAATATTTATAAGGCATCTCTATCTGATCTTATGTATTATTTTAAAAAGAAAAGTATTTTCTAGTGGCTTGACCAATGAATCAAGTAATCATTATAGCGTAGCTGGATTTGTGAAAAGTAGGAACAGAGCCATCGGCTGATCGCAGCTGTAATGTGTTCACATTTTTGCGTATAATTCACACATATTAAGTAATTTAATCTTCACACAATCATGTAAGAAAGGCACGGTCTCCATTTTACAGTTGAATAAACTGCGACTCGGAGGTTATGTGTCTCACATAAGGTCACACAGAGGGTGAGAGGCAGAGGCATGATTTGAATCCGGGCTCTTGACTTCCATACGACATCCCATCTCTGTGGATAAAAATTAATCCACGAGACAGACCCTTCAGTTTACTTCAGCAGCTTTTTAAGAATTCAGTTTCTTAATGTTTCACTCCTTTTCCTAAAACTAAGATTGAGGAGGGATGGGCAGGTTCTAGTTACTTCGTGGATCTGCTCAGGGGGATTCTTGCTGATAAAAACAGCAAGGAACGTGAGAGTGTACACACAGATCCCCAGCTTTGTCATTAAGGCAATACTCTTGGCCTTAAGTTTTACTGAAGGTGACGACCACTCCTCAAGTCAAGACTCAGCGGTGAGCATGCCTTTGCTGCACAAAATATTAAAACTATGCCTCACAGATGTTACGTTTAATGGAATACGTTATTCAGACAAAAAGTATTTGAGAAATAGGTAACTCCATTCAAACACGTGAAGCCCTTTCATAAGACAGGAGAAAAAGAAAGGCTTTCTAATGACCAGCACTGTCTCTGATGAAAGGAGATGCCCTTAAGGAGATGCTGAGCATCGGTCATTCCAAGGACTCAGGCGTGAGCTGAATTACCAGATCGGTCGTGTCCTGAGAGGGTTAAGCCACGTAGGAAACTACGCTAAGATTCTAGGATTATAACATTTTCTTCTTCCAAACTCCATTTATAGCGAAAAAGGTCGAAAAGCACCATTTTCTTGCAGGTCAAGGCCAGCGAGAAACGCTGCGCTCTGACAGAAACCACGTGGATTCCCGGCAGGCATCTCAGTCTCTTGAAGCCCAGAGGTTAGCTCTGCAGGGAAATTACACACTTCAGGTTCCTCCACTTTAGAATCATCGACTCTGAAAAATCATAGACATAAAGGAACACCTGTGAACTAGAAGGGGCTGGTTCACCGTTGAAACTTTCACATACGAAGAACATGGTCTTCGCGATCCTGTAGCATGAAAGATGGGTTCTCGTTTCCCGAGATACTTGAAATTTCTGAAGCTATTTCTTGTATGTCTAGAGCTACAGAGCGGCCGTGGAACTCAACCCAGATCAAGCCCAGGCCTGGATGAACATGGGTGGGATTCAGCACATCAAGGTAAGAAAAGAATCCGCGTCCGTGTGCGCTGCGTCTCCCCTTCCTTTTCTCTCTGCCTTTTTCTCCCTTAAAAGACTGAGCACCTGCTGTGAATTCCCTCTCTGACTTACCTGAGTACCCGAAACAGAAGTGTTTAGAAGTGAAATCAGCACAGTTTATATTCACTTTGCATTATTTAGATAGTGAATGTCGTGAAGCCATTTTCAAAGTAAATCTGTATAAATTAGATTCCATGATTCTCTTTATCATAAAGAAAGTCACATGTACTTAAGTATCATCACATAGCAGAGGAAATCTGCTTATGGGAGCCAAAGTCTTGTGAGGGCTTCACTACCGTAGCTTATTTTCCTGCAGCTTAACTCACTGTTAAGATAAAGTGTTCCTGTTTCTTACATCTAATGTATCTTTTACTCCCTAATATTTTACTGAAAAACAGGGTTGTGTGTGCATGTTTGTTTTCGAAAGGAAAAGCTACCTTTGAGTGAGTAATTGAAAGTTGCCCTTTGGGGGACTGTTGTCTGTAATGACAAAGATGCACTGTCATTCATTCATCCATCCATTCGTTTGACAGGCATGTGTAGAGAGCATCTTACATGCCAGGTCCTCTTCTAGGTACAGGGAATACAGCAGTGAACACATAAGACAAAAATTCCCGTCCCCATGGAGCTAACATTCTAGGAGGGGAAAACAGGCAATAAATAAATAAATAAATGTATCAGATGGTGCTAAGTGTTATGAAGGATGAAAGAGAGAAACAAGATAGGAAGTGCCAGGGGTAAGGGCCAAAATTTTAAATTGAGGTGGTTAGGGAAGGCCTTGATGAAAAAATGTGATTTCAGCAGAGACCTGAAGGGAGCAAGCCATGTGGCAGAATAGGGAAAGTGCATGTGCAAAGGCCCTGAGGTATGACCGGGCTGATGTATTTGAAGACTAGGGAGGAGTCAAGTGAGAAGAAATGAAAGAAGCTGGGTCAGAGAGGTCCCATGGCCAGGTGATGCAGGGCCTTGAAGGGGATGATAAGGTTTCTTTCTAGCTTCTATCAGCCTTTACCCTGACGAAATAGCAAGGTACTGATTAGGACTTAAACAAAGGCTTAATAGGGTTTACAATTAAGTGGAAACTGGTCACTCTCAGAAACACAACAAAATGAAAAGGTGACCTGTGACTATATAGATGGGAGGGGAGAATGGGGTAGTTGCTCTGCAGCTATGAGCCTGGATCTAATAGAGGAACAGCGATGGTGAAGCCAGTCAAGGCCAGATCTCTGGCCTGAGCTCTGATCTTAATGACATCCCACGGTATCCGGCAGTATCTAGTCGGAAAACATAGAATGAACTTACTTTTTAAAAGCAATAACATAATAATTTTAAATATGTAAATAATATATTAGTTATATTTTCAAATAATATACTCAGTATGTTTTTAGATGGAATGCACATGCATTTAAAGCAGTGGGTTCAACTATTAAAGAGAGAAATACCATAAATACACTCATCCCACAAGGCCTGGAAATAAAGAGACAATAGTAGATTTATGTTGCTCTTTCAGATTAACAAAGGGGACTCATTGCCTTGGATTTAGAGGTGTTCCCCTGAAAACGTGTCTGGAGATGGAGGAAGGATCTATTGGGTGTATTGCTCTAAAATGTAACAAGCATGCTGGTTAAAAATGAGTTTATCTTCTTTTCATCTCAGTGGACATTGTGGGTTAGGTTGAACAGTATAAAATTGCCTTGTTTGCAATTTTTAAATGTCTAGTATCAGTAGATTCATAGGATGCAATCCGATATGAACATACATAGACCAGGCGCACGGCTTGGATGTGGTCAGTTGGATGTCACCGTTAGGCTGCAGGATTAGCATCCTGAGGTCTTCTAGAGCAACCGTTCACTTCCTGCGTCTTTTGCATTGCCAGGATGTGGGCGCATCAAGCAGTGTTACCCTGTTCCCGGACCCCACTCCTTGCCTGAGCCTGGGTGAAGTGCAGGAAGGGCTGAGGGCTCGGGGAAGGTTGAGAATTGGGATAAGGCTTTGCAAGGAGATAAAGAGAGGGGAGAAGAGAGTGTCTCTTGTTCATAGTACTTGGTGATAAAAGATACTATTTTTTCATGAAGTTTTACATAAAATGCAATGGCTGGACCAAAAAAAGCTGCAATACATTCTTAATAATCAAAGAGTTGCATCGCCTGAGCCATATCACCTACTACTGATTTCAGTGCTGCCCTGTGACGTTCATGCATTTTTCTAGAACGGAACTGGCCGATAGAACTTTCTGCCATGATGGAAACTTTCTATGTCTGTTCTGTCCAAGGCCATAGACACTGGTTCCATGGGGCTATTGAGCACTTGAAATGTGGTTGGTGCAACTGAGCACCTGAATTCTTAATTATAATTAAATGTAGATAGCCATGTAGGACCAGTGGCTGTCATAGGAGCTAGCACATTGCTACAAATTGGATAATTCAAATTCTCTATCTAGCATCTAGAAATTGGGGACACTGGATTAACAGGCAGAAATCTTTTTTAAAAAAATAAGGCTTCCAGTTTCATCAAGAAAAGAGCAATTTGTGGGAAGACAGAAGAGAAAAGCAGTAACATTGCTAAATCCAGGTTCTCATTTGTCCAGAGTTCTGTTCAGCCTCTTATCAGAAACACTGTTAATAATCAGAAGTATTTTCATTTGTGTGCGTGCTGAAGCCTGGATTCCCAGCGTACAACGTTCTCTCCTGTCATTTTACTCTCCTTTTCCAAATAATGACAAGTAAATGCTATAAGAAACAGATTTTACACGGAGCCTAAATGGTCTTTTAATAATGATAGTGACCATCAGATTGAGCGCGCTCTGCGCATCAGCGGTGCCCGAGGTCTTGGCACGTGTCAGTTCGCTTGGAAGAGAGTTAAGCTTTTGATAAATATCAGTTGCTGTTGCTACAGAGCACTTTCACTCCAAGGGATACTGTTTTAAATTGTGCTGAAAATTCAGAGAATGACTAATGTTCCTCCGCGTGGAGCTGTAACGGAGAATAAAGTAGAACAAAGTTCATCTTTTTTTGGAATGGAGAGATCTCTAACGAGCTTCCTTCTCTGGACACAGCTCTGAAAGAGGGTAGACCATAGGGAAGGAACACGTTTAGTGGCAGAAAAGAGGCTGGAAAAAAGTTAAGAATTTTGACTCTCTGGGACCAGGCACGCATTGTTGCCAGTTTGGGAGACATTGAACAGACCAGATGGCGGCCAACAGTGTGGAGACAGGTGTCCTTAGCAGGCCCAGAGTGACATACATTCCCTGCTGCCTTCAGAGTATCCAGCAGACACATATTGTCACACACTTGGAGTATCAGATAAATTTGACTCCATATTATTTATTATCAACTCTTTTCATTTTATAAAAACTTACGTTTGCATTAAAGCCTGTGTTAGGCAAAAGTTACTTTTATGTTTTAAGCTCAAGATTGAAATGCTTCCTACCACTATGTAAGTATAGTGGATTACTCAGCTACTTACTCTTTTTATTGAAGTATAGTCAGTTTACAATGTTGTGTTAATTTCTGGTGTACAGCATAGTGATTCAGTTATACATATATATATTCCTTTTCGTATTTTTTTCATTCTAGGCTATTACAAGGTATTGAATATAGTTCCCTGTGCTGTACAGTAGGACCCTGTTGTTGATCTATTTTATATATAGTAGTGTGTATCTACAAATCCCGGACTCCCACTTTATACCTCCACCTGCCCCAAGCCTGGTAACCATAAGTTTGTTTTCTGTGTCTGAGTCAGTTTCTGTTTTGGCAGTAAGTTCATTTGTGTCATTTTTTTTTGATTCCACATGTAAGTGATAGCATACGGTGTTTGTCTTTCTCTTTCTGGCTTACTTCACTTAGTATAATGATCTCCAAGATCATCCTTGTTGCTGCAGATGGCTTTATTTTATTCTTTTTATGGCTGAGTAATATTCCACTATGCATAAAATCATATCTTCTTTATCTAGTCATCTGTCGATAGACATTTACGTTGCTTCCATGTCTTGGCTATTGTGCTAAACTATTTACTTTTTAATCATTACTCTTGCAATTTCAAAAATATCTCTCACACACACACACACACACACACCCCTCTCCCCCCACCCTACCCCCTCCCCCTCCCTCTCAATATGAATTTCCACTGCCATGGCTCCACTTAACTACAAAGGAATAACCCTGGGAGAACACTCTGGAATGACTGCTTCATACCCTATATTAGCAGAATTGAAAAATCTGTTTTTCTGCCATTTAACCGTATGATGTAACTCTTATCCTTCACATGCTCCATCTGGTCTGGTACTTAAAACAAATGGATTCTCCAAAAGCACCAACCGATGAGGATAAAATTACATGTGCAGACAGGGTCTCTTTGTGAGGATAGTAATGTTAAAATGGGCCAGAAGTTCTGTTTTTTAGTCTCCCCATTCTCCAAGAGAACATTCTGATAGATCAGAACATAATTCTTCTCTTTCTTTTTCTCGGCAGGGAAACTATGTGTCTGCAAGAGCTTATTATGAGACAGCCTTACAGCTGGTTCCAGACAGCAAACTGCTACAGGAGAACCTCGCCAAATTGGATCGGCTAGAAAAAAGGCTTCAAGAAGTTCGAGAAAAGGACCAAACGTAGCAGCATTTGACCCAGTCTCGAGGGACAGTGCCGGTGCCTTTGGAAGAGGAGGAAGGGACGGAAGCCTCGGCTTTCACATCCTTGGGGGACAACCACTGAAGCTGCTTCTCACTCGGAGCTCAGGGGGGCACGTCTGGGGACACCTGCTGGAAACCCTGTGCTGGGGACTTGCAATTCCATGAAAGACAAAAAGAGCGAGCCTGGGCTGGGCGGCCTGAGAGGGAAGGCTAGCAGACTGTACCTTTTACAGATGTTTTTGTTTCCTTTAATTCCAGATTTCCTTTCATACGTTTGCCTGCTTTTCCGACCCGGAAGTCTAATTCCGTTGCTTAGCTTAGACATTTCCGTCCCAGAAATAGGGGCTTGAAATGCTACAAAGTCAGAGCTTCTCTTCTTTATGAGATGAGCTCTTTCAAAGAGGATGAATCCTCTAGAATAAACCATTTGGGAAATTGTACCAAGAGGGAGCTCATTTAATTCTCTAGAACCAAAAATGAGTACCACGTAGTTTTTGTAAAATCTTCTGGAATATACAGGGGAAAAGGGCTATTGATAAGTGAGCTTTATCTAATACCCTTCTGAGGACATCACTAGAGCCCTATTGAGAAGTAAATTAACTTCCACCCTGAAATGAGCTGTTTTCCCACTGCCTCATATATCAAAAAGGAAGCTTCTGGAATTGTATATGGATCTTTTTATTCCAAGGGGGCAGTCAAGGATCTTGGTACCCCTAATTCTTTATGGAAATGTTTTAAATTATTTTAATTTTATTACAAGTATTACCAGAGAGGTGGTTCTGCTCTAAGATTTCATAAGTGCTTTTAAAATCATACATGTTTCCGCTTCCAAATATACTGTTATTTTGGTGAAGAAAAAAATAGTATATTCTACGTGAGAAATATTAAAGATATTAATTGAGAGAAATGTTCTACTTTGTTATCTTAACATTCAGACGTCCTGAGATGATTATTTTTTGAAAATATATTTAACCATTAAGGAATCTTTATAGTATATTACAGAAGTCTTCATAGACTTTAAATAGATGGAAGGGAAGCTCTGTTGGTTTGTCTGGGCTTTAATGAGAATTCTGTGCTTAGAACATGAGCGATGGAACCCAGAGTTCCTGGTTCTGTATTTGTAATTTTGGAGATTTCATGGAGAATGCTCAACAAATCTGGGGGAAAAGTCTAAATTCATAATTTTAAAAGATACCTATTTATATTTAAAAGATAGGGTTGGCAAAGTTGAACTTACAATTTGACATTTGTCTTGGGGTTATTTATTTCCTAACTTATAAAATGTTTAATATATACACACATTTTTTTTCCCTCTGTACATAGTGGTTTTTAACAGCAGCATTCACAACTGATGACACAACAATTTTAAAGCTAAATCACAAAGAAGTTTAGTTTTAACAGCCCCTCAAAAAACGTGGATCGATTATTCACTTGCAAAAGCTGAAGAAATTAGGAACCAGCTTCAGTGTTGGGACGATAATATATTTTGGAATCGAAGAAATTGGAACACATGATCCTAATTTGGTTTTCATCATAAACTTTAAAAAAAAAAACAAAACCCACTGCGGGCAGTGCTGGTAAGTCAGGTATCCTATAAATGTTGTAGCCTAAAGCGTATGTGATGCTCAGGCCAAAGCAAAAAGCCTTCTGCTGCTTTTCAACCTCGGTATCAGAAAGCACTGCCTCTCTCTGTTTTTATTTTTTTGTCAAGGTAAATCTAGATAAAAGGAAGAAAACCTTCCTTGGACACGGATGATGCCAGGAATATTTTAAATGCAGAGGATTACAGAATTTGCATTAGCCTACATCAGTTTGTGAGCGTCAGTAACCCAATAATGTATATCTTACCACTATGATCTTCTATTTCTAATGGTCTTTTAATGTAATCTGTCAGAAATTTATCCAAAATTTTATTTAAAATCTTTTTCTCCCCCTCCCAAATGACTCTTCTATAGTCCTAAGGTCAAGAAATGTACCGCAGTGTTTATTATAAAATGACTATCCCCCCCTTCCAATAGGAAAACGTGAAGCGCTAGCTAAAAGCAGGATCTAAGGACTTGAATTACAATTTTCTAGAATAATCTGTAATGAAAATGCATGCTTAGAAAGTTAATGGGAAAGGCTGAGCCCCTGATTTTGAAAACAATTAATGCCTTAATTGAAGTGCTGCTAAAGATGTAAGAGTACCTTTGTTGGAATAAATGTGAGATGGCTTGTTAACAGCCTAAAACTGTCTGAGAAAAGCGTCACATGGCCTTCAGGAGACTTCTGCCTTCTTTTGGGTGTTTCTCTGTCTCTCTCCCTCTGTCACTCTGTCTCATTCTGTCTGCACACACTGGCATCTCTTTGAACATTAAAAGCGAGCACTGTTTGTTGGATCAATCAGATATTTTCATCTGAGTTAATACCCTCACTGAGATGTGACCAATGAAGTAGTTTTCCTAGTCGAATGGTGCCTATAAGAAAATAAATCACATATTATTTTTCAAAGATGTTAAGTGTATTTTATAACTTTTTATTTGTTCTTGTAACATGAAATATGGGGGATTCATCCTTATCAAAACAAAAACGGAGTGCCCTGGCTAGCCACGGAGATGCCGCCAGGTCCCCTTAACAAAAGTGCACTTGGCACGTGAGTCGGTAGCCCCTCCCTGCGATGGGATTGAGGGGCGAGCTTTCATGCAGACCCTCGGAGTTCTGCACTCAGAAGCACCTTGTGTTTGATTGAATGCTCTGCTTGAAATTTTTCGTAATTTTTGAACAAGGGGTCCTGCGATTCCATTTTGCACTGGATCCTGGGTAGGTGGGAAGGTGGCTGAGGACAAGACAGGCATTGCTTCAGTCTGGCTGAACCCTTGAGCTGATGATCACTTTCATTTGTGACTGTTACTCCGAGCAGCATTTGCTCAGCTACATTTAGAGTTCCATGCGCACGGATATTCCCCGCCTACTGCCTGTCTGTCTAACCTGTCCTACTGTCCTGCCTAGAACCAGTTCTCCCTGCCTTCACATTCACCATAAGTGACAGTCCTCTCACCGTCCTTTGACCTAGGAGCCATGAGAATGGCTTCACAAGCTTATTTCAGCCTTAGGAATTATTCAGGATTTTTTAAAAGATTCAGATGTTTTCAATCTGTTAACGGTATACATGAAAAATGGTTCAGTGATGTAGCAAAAGTGAACTAAACCAAAGATTCAAATACCCTAGAGGAAAAGAAATTTTATCTTAGGGGATCTTGAGACCTATTCTTTTGGGTCTGTTTATTTTGAAGCCTGTCACAAAGCAAAGAGGATTGCCAGCACTTGGATTCCAACTCCCCACGGTTCCTCGCTGCCCCCAGCAGGAAGGGTCCGGCGTGCTAACACGTGGTACCTCGTCGGATGCTGGGTTTTGCAGCGGTTATGCAAATACTGCTGTGCAACTGCATTCAACAAGAGTAAATGGGAAAATCCAAACCGTTCCATTCCAAGTAACCTTAAAAACTGTCATTGGAGGGGGAATAAAAAGCAAATGTGGATTTCTTCTTGTCTCTGTGAAACCTTCCAGGCTCCTCAGATTGAAGAGCCACATTCAGCTAGTAGCTGAGATCTCTTCTCTCACACACAGGTTCTCTCTGCCCCTAGACGGGCTTTAGGATAGCCTGCACACCTTTGAAAATCCCCGGACACAGCCACCCAGGCAATGATTCCAATATGCAGCTAGGCTGGAGAACCACTGCAGGCTAATAACTTTAAGAAGAGTTTATGACTTTTACAAAAGTCAATGTATATGATCTTTTGCAATATTAACTTTTAAATGTAGACTAAAATGAGCCAAAGAATTCTAAAGAATGACTCATGGCACGGTTGGTTGAGGCTGCCATGCTAAGGTTGACAAACAGGTGGGTTGGGTGAGGTGATTCTGCATTTGTGGCAATTGGACTGTAATTTGACCTTATATGTATAGAATTCTTGGTTCTCAGATGGGGAGGAATTGCCTTGCCATAGCATGGACCAGACAAGGTACCCAGTATATAAAACTATTTTTTATAACTCACGTAAAGGGTCCATGACATAGAGTTTATGCCTACACCTGTGTGTCTCTTTCTTTGGGTCACACATTTCAGCTTTGGTTATTATTTCTTAATTGTACTTACTAGAACCAGTTAAAAAACACTTTTGCTAAGACTTGTGATGGATTTGCAGCTTAGAGCAATAAATCTATAGGATATTAGTAACACAGTCAAAGCAAATGTAGTTATGTTTTGTTTATTTTAATTTTTATTCTGATTTCCAGAGCATGTTTACTTTGATTAAATTGTATGTTAGTATCTCTCAATAGCAGCAAAACTTAATCTAAATAACATCTTTTGACACCTTAAAAGAGGGGGGAGGGTATAGCTCAGCATGCATGAGGTCCTGGGTTCAATCCCCAGCACCTCCTCCAATAAAAATAAACCTAATTACCTCCCCCCACCCCACCAAAATAAAACAGTACAATAATATAATAATACATAAATAAAATATTTTTAAAAGAGTAAATACCCAACGAATCCTATATTCAGGTTGTAATTAAGATAGAAAAGTTAGAATGCCAAAAATAATATGGGGAAATATTATAACTTCTTGATTTTTCTTGAAGTTTTTGATGTGAAGAGTATGTTGAACAGTTCCTCCAAAAACAGCACTTCCTTCCTTATTTTTGTTTTTTAGTAACCATATAATTTAAAGAAAAGAAAGAAAACTTCAATCAAAGAAATAAAATAACTTCAATCAAAGCTGTGGTTAATAGCAGTAAAATCAAATGTCACAACAAAACCAACATCTATCAATTGGCTCATATAAAAATGTTCCATTTTTATCACCAAAGGATCCTTTCAATTAAAACCTTCAGGGCATGCAACATGTAAAATTAGCACCCACCACAAGATCTGGTCATTGTCAGTTTCTAAGTTTAGACCAACATTTATACCCCAAACTGAAAAGATGTGTGTATGTCCAGAAATCCTGGAGATTTATCCCATTCTCAGTGGTGCACATGCATTTTTGCATATTTGTAACCCCTTTGGAAGTCTCCAGTGTGCATAATATCCTTTTGGGGTTGTCTTGCTGGCCCACAGGAGGGGGCGAACCAGTCCAAGAATCAGGAGATCTGGGTTCTAGTCCTGCTCTACCACGAGGAGCCGCCTCACTCCGGACAAGTTATCAAATGTCTCCATCACGTTTAACCATTAAAGGACTGGTTAGCTCTGCGGAGCTCCGTGAGTCTCCTGTGTCCAAACAGAAAGCCCTCTGCCTCTGAAGACATAACTGATAAGTGTTGCCCTTTGTTTTAGCACTCCTTAAGACAAAACACGTACACAAACAACCCTAAAAGTCACTGAGCTGCCCGAATGCTTGACTGTACCAGAGGTAACCACTTACTTTGCAGTCTGGACACATAAAATGAGTGATTTCATTATGCTTCTGGGGAAAAAATGCTTGACTGTACCAGAGGTAACCACTTACTTTGCAGTCTGGACACATAAAATGAGTGATTTCATTATGCTTCTGGGGAAAAAAATTTTTTTTAACTTCCTCCTAAGCAATTCGAGTATCTGTAGAAGCCATGGCTTGCTCTTATAATGTGGAAATCCTTTGACTTGTGACTCGCCCAGGCTTCCTTTTTTTCAGACGAAATTCTTGCCTCGTGGTCTGTTCATAACGCTTTACTATGATCAATTGTATCTAAATGTACGTTTTTGTTCCTTTTGCTGTGCCAGTTCGAAATCTTATCTCCCATAAAGTATTTCTCCCATTTCAGTCTGAGTATGTACCCTTTGCCCGGGTCTTTCCAAAATAAAATTTATGTAAATGTCTATTTTATATAAAATATGATGAAAGTAAGTATGTCTTGTTTCAGTCTCTCAAGGGCTCCGTGATGGGTACCCATCGAAATCCATGTCACCAGGAGGTGCTTGCTTTACAAATAAAAAAGACCACCTTTTCTTCCTTTCCTCATTCATTCATTCCCTCATTCATTCATTGCATTGTTCTGTGTGCTCCGTCTGCTCTTTTTCATACCCCACAAGTCCTCCCTCAATATCCTGCACTCTATCTACAAACTTAACCTGCCCCCAATTCTCCCCTCACTCCAGTTGCTATAATGGAAGAAGAGAGTCCTGGGCCCTGGATTTTGCTTCTGGTAGCACGCCGTTATTCCATTCCTTAACGTCTTTCTTTTTCATCTTTCACTTCTACCTTTTGCTGGCTCTTGTCAATTCTCTTATTTTAAAACACAGATACAGGGAGCCACCATCCAGATCATTTGAAAAAAAGAAAACCTTCCTTTAGTCCTTTTCATCTCTAGTTGCTACCACATCTCTTTACATCCTTCACGGCCAGACTACTGGAATAAATTGTCTTCACCCATTCTTCTACGTACATCCTTCACATCCTCTGGCATCCTAGTGTCAGCTGTCTCCACAACAAATATTCAAATAAAATTGCTGTTTCTAAGGTCACCAATAATCACCTTACTGCTGGTTCTTAGGCCTTGTGGGACTTTGGAGAGGGTTCTAGAGTTCAGACCAGTGGTTTACCGGGGATGGAAAAACTTGTTTTCTAAACAAAACATTATTTACCCATGACTTGCTCATTGCTCATGGGTTAGTCTCCTTAAATTCTACAACTATTCCTAGAGTTGGGGCTTCCATCAAGAGTACTGGAAGGCCGCCAGTACCAGATCATTATTACACCAGCTTAACGAGGATATGTTCAAATTCAAGGCAGATTTTTCCAATCCAATTTGGGATAATCCAACCGGCTCTCCTTGACATCCTTTCCTTTTCTAAAATGGTATGCTTTAGTCTTATTTTGTGTTTTATGAGAGAATACTTCCATTTGGACCCTTCAACATCACCACAAATTCAACTTACACTTGCAAATTTCAATCTGAAACGAATCACCTGGCTTTTGCGATGCACGCAATTCGTATTGAATGGCACTTTTTCTATTTAATGGGAAGGCATTATTTTGTCAGGTCCCTAGAAGGGACCCATCCTCTGTATAGAAGAACCAGATCTCCCTTGCAGCTGTGGGTTTGAACCCTGGAAACAAAGGGAGCTGTGCTGTAACAGGAAACAAGCCAGTGCCCAACCCCATGGAGACTTCTGGGTGTGAAACAAAGGACTGAAGACCCTGCAAAGCTGTGGGTGTACCACGTACACAAGACTGAGAGGGGACAGGCTCTGCTTAGCCATGAACCTGAACATTGTGGGTCCCACCATGCTTGCACAGTGCATGTTCGTTTTTTCCTTCCCTTCTCCTGTCTTATTTTGTGATGGCTTTGTAGTGGTTTTAATCTTCTCCCTCTTGCCAAGAAGAAGGAGGAGTTTGGGTCTATATGGCCAGTTTGGGCTTTTATTGGAGAGTTGTGTGCCCCTGGGGCCAAGGACGGTTATGGTAATCCTTGTGAGATCACAACGGAGGAGGTGAAGCTCGGAGACGAGGGTGGTGAGGGCCGTAAGTCAGGCAGCCACTACCTGGAGGGCTCCGTACAGCACTCAGATGTAGCGCGTCATTTTCAGAGAAGAGTTGCTTACTTACCAAGCCCCTCCTGGTGTCTCCTAGACACCCAAGCTTGAAACCCTCCCCATCTCCACTCTGTGTGTGTGTGTGTATTTTTATTGAAATATAGTCAGTTTACAATATTTTTAAATGGCAATGAAATCAGGCAATGATCGTTAATTCCACAGGCAAATGGATAGCAGAATGTGACAAGTACTTTACTCAAATAACACTTCCTTGATGTCATCTTCCTAAGCTTCTCATTCCCTAGTTGCCCATCCTTTTAGCTTCCAGCAATTAAAACGTGACACTGGAATCTTAAATTTCTGAATATATGATAGAGACTTGCCAAGTCACTGCTAACGTTTTTGTGCTTTTACTACAGTACCATCGTACAAAGGTGTTTTAGTATAACCCAGGAAATCCTAGTGAGAGATGGGAAACACCATACTGGTTTCACATCCTATAAATTTAACAACTTCAGTAGGACTCATGATTTGAGAATATTGGATAATTGTTCAATCTGAAGAACTCAGGTAAAGAGCATTATGAATACTCTCCAATCATAAAAAAAAAAAAAAGAATGACATCTTGTCATTTGTGAGCACATGGGTAGCACAGACCTTGAGGGCATTATGCTCAATGAAAGAAGTCAGACAAAGAAAGGCAAATACTGAATGATCTCACTTATATGGGGAATTAAAAAAAAAAAAAGCTTATAGATATAAAAGACACATCGGTGTTTGCCAGAGGTGGGAGGTTGGGGGGGAGGCAAAATGGATGAAGGGACTCAAAATGCGCAAACTTCCAGAGCTGGACAAAATAACTCTACTGTAAAGCAAGACGGGATAAGCTTTATACTCCACACTAGCCGGGCGTGTTGGTGCTGCTGACAGTGGAGGAACTGATCCCCACTGCAGGGCTTTGTGGGGTGTGTATACTGTGTTGGGGGCGGGGGTAGGAGCGCTTTAGTGAAGGAGTGGTACTGAAACTAGACATTGAGGTACAGCTACGATTCTATAGCTCATGAGGTCTTCTAAGCTCTAACGTACAGAAGACATTCCCACAGGTCATGTATATTGCAAGGCCTGGCAGGTCCCCTCGGGATTCAGGCAGAACAAAGAACAGTTGGAGCCCTGGGTACCTGACATGCCTTTACTGCAGAGGAGTGCACAGGAGACGATGGAGGTGGTGGCAAAAATATTCCATCCGCCTTATATATCAAGGCAAACAAAGCCGGCATCTAGCCAACCAGTGCGCTTGCGCGGTGCAAGTCATGCTCGAATAACACACGTGGGTACTGCGCATGCGGGGTAACGGGGCTGAGTCACTGGGCGCGGGACACCCGGGGAGGGGGCCTGAGTGACTCCGTTTTCCCTGCATCGTGCCGGGCAGAGGGAACTGTGTGTAAGGAATGTCAGGGAGGTGGAGAACCTCAAGGCTATTTAGGCAATGTGTATCCCACTGCAGCTGGAAAATAATGTGAATACGAACTGGGGTAACAGTGACAATAAAGATGAAAAACCTTTCATTGTAGACGACCTTGAATTCCATGTGAAGATGTTTAGATTTTATGCCTTGGGCAATGGGAAGCCAAAATGGTGGTGAGATTATAATTTATGAAATGGATGTAAAATAAATGTCACTATTCATTATAAGTTTAGGATGGAAATGATGTAGCTTAATTGCAGCTCATACTTAAAAGGCTTGTTTAAAGTTCTGTTGTTAAAAGTCTAAGATGACTTTCTGTGAGTCAACCTAGTAATAACATACCAGTGAAGCCTTCAGCATCTTTGCTTAAACTTTTAGAAGAACAGCATCCAGAACAGGAGTGAGAGTCCTGTTTCCTTAGAGTCCTGGGCTCGGGTGCATGCAGGAGGTCTCTAGGTACAGCCTTTAGAGGGGGACAAATAGGCTGGAAATTACCTGAAGGACAGTGATCAAGATAAAGAGAAATTCAAAACAGCATCTTGGGAGATAAGGTGGAGGGAACTAGGAATGTATTTCTTCCAAAGAAGACTTGAGAGGAGGAAGAAATCATCTTGATTTATCTGTAAGTCTACCAGGGGAGCCACAGGAGTTGCTAACAAGTTGAAAATTGGGGTTTTAAGAGAGACTTATGATTGTGTTGAGGGGTTTTGACCTATGTTGTTTGAGATGAGGAGGGCAGGTGTGCAGTGAAGAGAAGGAGGAAGATGGGACAGAGGATTTGGGTAATAGGGCACTAGGATCAAGAGAAACATGCGTTTTTGTTTGTTTTTTAGAAGGGTGGGCTTAACTGGTCATACGGACAGAAGAGAGAGAGTCATTAGTCAAGAGAAATACATAGGTCAAGGAAGTTTCACAAGAACACAACAGATAAAGAAGTTTTAGTTTTGGGAAGAAGGAAGAATAATTCCTTTTCTGGGAAAGAAACAGAAAATGTTAAGGTAGTCTAGAGGCAATTTGAAGGAATTTACACTAGATGCTGTGTTAGTAATTATAAGATTTCAGTTACTTCATGTTTGGAGAATGAAGTTGGGATTAAATAGTTAAGATTTAGTTAAATAGCTTGGAGGGACTAAAGATAGAAGTCAACTAAAGAGAATGAGACTTTTAGCAACATGACAATTCAGAATTAGCATGAATTTGTACCATATTTCAACAAATCGAAAAAAAAAACCTCTGATTGTAAAATTCATTGTTACTTTACGTATCACCAATGAAGAAAACAAAAATACCCAAGGTTAGGAGATCTTCATACAAAAGTGGGACAACAAAGGCCAACCCTTCAGTGTAAGGTTGAACAAGGCATAAGCCTGCCCATGTGGACAGTTACATGCCTCAGCCTTGGCCCTGGGTGTAGGGATGGGTACAAATCCTCCCTGAGAATTTGAATTACAGACTAATACTCGTGCAGGTCTATAGTCTAAAATTTCCACCACCAAGATAGTCCAAAACAGCTCAAGCAGAAAAATTAAGCAGAATGCAGTTGATAATACCCCCAGATGACTGGCCAAAGCTATTATGAACCCTCTCTGGAAAAACTCTTTCAATCCAGGTCTAACAGAATTGTAAGATTCCATGGTAAGATCCTTCCGATTCTAGAATGTTCGAACTTGGAAAAGACATATATGTTAGAAGTGTAAAAGATATGGTGACAATTTGCCTACTTAGCGATGCCAGCATGCTGAGCAAACTCGAATGATAGAAAGATCTGATAAATTTCAAATGGAGATAATTAGCCAGTGGTAAGGAACAAAGAGACAATGTGAGGCAGGAGCAGGGAATTATACATTCCCTTCAGGGTTGTCTTTATTCTGGTAGGTGGTAACCGGATGCTCAGAAAAGGCAG